ATGGGCTTTCGAATGGTGTATGAATTATTTGTGTTGTTATTACAAGTGTTGCTGTGACCCCCTAGGAAAAGGTTATGCCCCGCCCTGTACTAGGCCCGATCCATACAGGGGATGGTCTTTCTTCACCCGCTCGCTCTCCAAGTTGTTCAACTAGATACCAAAAAGAATCTTCATTGTTCCAGATGCTTTGGAGCAACAGATGCTTGATCCTGATTTGGCAGCCAAGCTGCCAAGGTTATTTCAGTGAACACCTCAGCTTAGCCCAAGCCTATCACCATCTGTTCAAATTATAAAATGTAGCAAGAAGAGAACATGAACCAAGTTCTGGAGACATTTGCTTCTGTTTGTTATGCATCTGGCTCCCTGCAGCCATTGTGTTTTCTTTTTCAAGAGTAACAGCAAGACCTTATTAAAAAGGGGCTTCCAGTTCCTACCGATATATGAATTACAAATGTTCTGTTCCGATTCTGAAGTGACCATAACGAGCCTATTCTGTGATTTGGAGAAAACATTAGATATATTTGCATACAACAATAGTACTCAGCATCATGCAGGAATATTTTTTAGCCTTTGCTAATGGGCAACCTCCTCCTAGCAGTCAGCTCTTTAACATTGTTGCTGTTACTATACAGAACAAGTATGTTCCTGGGGCCTTTTGAATCCAAAATAGCTATAACCATGCTCTTCAGTAAGTACAGGTTATTGTGAATACCAAGCTTTTGCTCTTGGCCTGACAGTGTCTCCTACAGCTGCCTGTCTATAGTTAAATGGGATTGCAACATGCCATGGACATAATGGATCTACTTCCCAAAGCACTTTTCTACTCCAGTATCCAAATGATCCAGTATCCAAGTGATAGTTCCTTATCTGGTGTTTGGAACTATTTCAGACAAGATGTTTGGCATGTGGAATAACCTGGCACTTAAATAACCTTCTGCTTTGAACTACACATCCAGAGTTTGCCTTACTGCAATTAAAGCAGAAAAATGGAACTGAGCTGTATACAGAGTAAGAATGTTTTGGGATGCTGTAACCAAAAGCAAAGACCTGGCAGTCTACTAACTATCTAAAAGGCCAGTCAGATTATGGTAAGAGGGCAGATGTTGGTCCTCTTCCTGACCCCTGCCTAGTATATAAAAATGCTAGGAAAGACTTTTAGTAGGAAAGAGATATGTAGGTTTCATGAACACAAGTGTGTATTTGTATTTGGTTTCAAACCTCTCTTGAAAATATACGACTCATATCCTGCATACTCTGAGTCATGGTACTAGAACCCAGATGGCTCCTGTTGAAAGTAGCAGTGATGGTGAAGAATAACAAGGGAGGGACTAGTGGCTCTGATGCCAAAAGACAGGACCAAGGCCAACTGAAAAATATTTTTGCCAACCCAACTATTCAAGTTTATGAATCACATCCTCAGATTATAATTTTAGAATATATATATATATATATANTTCTGCCAACCTAGCAGTTTGAAAGCACATAAAAAATATAAGTAGAAAAATAGGGACCACTTTGGTGGGAAGGGAACAGTGTTCCGTGCGCCTTCGGCATTGAGTCATGCCGACCACATGACCACAGAGAAATCTTCGGACAGCACTGGCTCTTCGGCTTAGAAACAGAGATGAGCACTGCCCTTAGAGGCAGAAACAACCAGCACGCATGTGCATGGGAACTTCCCATGGGGTTTTGTCTCCTAATATTTGGAAAGTTTTTGAAAGGTAGAATTTGTAAATATGGGTGGAAAGGAGCACCCTTCTATTGATGTGAATTCTGCCTTATATGTTTTCCTCTTATCAATTTTACTAGTATCCTGTGAAATATTCAGATGACAGAGACACCATTTTCTGAAATAACATCTGCTTTAAACCTATATGAATACATATGTTAGGAAACAACAGTATTGAGGATCTCCAGATTTCATCACCACTCTTGTTAACTGTTAACTGAGAATGAGAAATCTGCAAAAAAACCAAACAAACCCACCACTTGTCGACGTTTTCCCAAAAATATGACCTACCCCGAAAGTAAGTCCTAACTTGATTTTTTTAACATGTGCCCAAAATAAGCCCTACTCCCCAAATAAGACCTAATTAAGACACCACGCAATCCAAGGTGCACAGGTAAAAATTAAAGCTAGGGTCCCAGCCCTACTCCTTACCTTCAAACAGTTGCAGCAAGGCCTCTATTGAGTTCTATTGACATCCAAATCTAGGATTTTGAGTAAAAGATACTTGAATTAGCTGGACAGCTGGTTCTGAATGAAAATGCCGGAAAAAACATCGAAAAGCAGCTTTATATCAACTAAAAAAGGTTCGCCCGGGATGACTAAGACCCAGAGGACCCAGGGAGACCAGTCAGCTGCAGGGGTCGCCACTTTGGGACGACCCCGGACCACGCAAACTTCAGCAGCTCTAGTGGCCCCAGCGGTCTTCGCGTTATCTCGACCGCTTGGTGATGAAGAGAACAACTCCAGTCCGATAACAGCAGCGGCGTTTTTCGGTGATTCCAGCGCCTGTTCCATCTTTCTGCCCTGCCTGTTCACAACGAAGATCCAGGGAGACCAGTTTGCTGCAGGGGTCGCCACTTTGGGACGACTCCGGACTACACAAACCTTAGCGGCTTCAGTGGCTCTAACGACTCCAGCGGTTTTCGTGCTATCTCGGCCGCTTGGTGACGACTCCATTCTGATAACAGCGGCAGCGTTTTCTGGCGATTCCAGCGCCTGCTCCACTCTTCTGCCCTGGCTGATTACAACGGTGAGCCTTTAGGAACTCCCTGTGACTGTTTTTCTCCCAGAAAGGAGACTTTTGGACTGGGTTGTTACTGGGGTTAGGCGAACTGAACAGCGGGTTTTTTATCGCCGCTGTAGCCTTCCCCCTCCCCCCCACAGCAGCTACGTGGCCCTTCGTCCTGAGGAAGGGGTGACCGGATCTCAACATCAGAGTGGCCAGACTGGACGGTTAATTTTTGCTGCCACCACCGCAGTTTCCTTTAGGTCGACCCCCCTTCCCCCTCTTCGTTTTGGTACGGGTGCCTTTGTGACGACTGCTGTTTCTGCTGTGGGTGGTGGACAGATGATGGCGGCGTCTTGTGCTTTTATTAGACACCCACAATACCTTCCGATTATTCTGGCCCAGCTTGCTGAACTTTTGGGTTCTTTATTGAACCAACATTACTCTAGAGGAGGGGGAGACGACTTGGGCGTCTGTAGAGACTGGCTACTCTGTGTGACTGACTACAACTGCCACCATTATAACCCTTCCAGACACCCTCCTCCTCCCTCCTCTCCCTGTGGCTTAACCTTTGTGCTAACACCATCATTGCCTGCTACAGAGCCATCTGTTGAGAACCATCTGGCTCTCCTTGAACTCGTAATTTAACAACTGCGCATATTATTTTTTTCTTTTATCTTTCTTTCTTTCTCTCCCTCTTCTTTTCTTTCTTAGTATGGGATATGCATGTGATATGTATGTAAATGAGTGAATGGTCCCACTTTTTATTGCTATTATCGTTGTATTTTTGTATTTTAATTACTACGTGGGGATTGCTTGGGTGAGTGAATGAGTANACAACATGAGGAACTGTATTAAAGGGTCGCAGCATTGGGAAGGTTGAGAACCACTGGTCTATAAGCAACTAAGAAACAGATTCCATACAGTCTGTTCTACAAATGTGTTGGCCATGATCCTTTGTAAAGACAAAGTATATTTGTCTTTAGTGATATAGGCTCACTAAATAAGAGAGAAAATGCAGCTGTGCATTTGCAGTAACATTCTCACTATAGTACATTTGAAAAACTGGTTTTCAGTAGATTTTCCAAATGTACACTATTAATAGTTGAGTCAGTTAACACTTCTTTCCATATGTATAACTTAAAAGCATATAATCTGAGTAAATATAGGCCCGGATTATAGACATAACTATTTATCCAAGATACTGAAGTATAATTTTGATTTTGGATGACAGCTTCATGGTATATATTCTATTTTACCAAAAGCAAATATATGTGCCATTATTTTTAATTTTTTCTATATAAACTGGAATGCTATTTGAACCTCAAATCCACCTCCCAATGTAATGGAGCAGAA